ATCCGACCCTCAACATCGCCATGGACCTCACCGATCGTGACTGTTCGCAAGAGTAACAGTGTGGATTTCAGACTATGTATCGACTACAAGCTGGTAAACAGCTTCACGATCCTGATGGTATATCCTATGCCTCTGATCAGCGATCCGTTAGAGGACCTTGATAAGGCGTTATGGTATTGCTCGCTAGATATGACCAGTGGTTTCTGGGTCGTGCCTATGACGGATCGTGCTCGCGAGATCTCGGAATTTTCTTGGGAACCGGCGATCGGGGAACCAAAGTTGGTTCCGGGGAAAATCCCCGGGGCACTATGCCACAGATTTATCAACGCCTCGTAGACAACGCGCTGTATGGTTTCCTGAAGTTCTCGCGATCAGGCGATGCCGGGACTACAATGGACGTGTTCCAGCCAGGGATCGCGGGTCTGTGTTGTGACGAAGATCATATATTGACGACATCATGATCGCAGCAGAATCGTGGGATCAAATGTGCCAAAGGGTGGAAGATCTGTTGGAGGCTTGTGATAAGTGGAATTTATCGATCAGTGTGGCGAAGAGCTTCTGGGGCATGGATAAGGTAGGATATATGGGGCACCGAGTGTCGATCAAAGGTATAGAGACGAACCCAAAAGATCTGAAATCCCTGACCGATTTGCCATTCCCCGGGTCACTCCGATCCATGCAGGTGTTCCTGGGTACTTTGAATTACTACAGCAAATTCATTGAAGACCACGCTATCTACACTTCGGGGTTATATGAACTACGCGAGGTGGAGTTTGCAGAACTGGAGAAACGAGTGAATCTGAGGAAGATCATGGACCATAACGACCCGATTGCACGGGATCACGGCCTTCAGCTGCCGGAACCACTAGATCAGAGGTGGATCAGGGCGCATAAGGCCTTCATCACCCTGAAAACCAAGATCGCGACAACTCCAATTCTCCGACACTTCGACGAGACGAGAACGCCGGTGGTTATTGCATATACCAGTGATTGGGCGACATCCGCTTCGTTGCCACAAGAACACGACGGGATCTACCATCCGGTTGCGTTCGCCAGCCGCACCTTGAAGATGAACGAGTTGAATTACAACATGACCAAAAAGGAGGTGTTGGCATTGCTGAGGATCTTGGATCTCTACTACAATTTACTTGTAGGACGCGAGATCCGGGTCCTAACGAGACATTCCACGTTAGCCTGGCTGTTCAGGTCGACAGGATTACAGTGTCGCCTAGGGCAGTGGTCAGCCCTCCTAGCCCCGTGGACTCTCGAGATCACTGTCGTGTAGGACACGAT